CCTCATACGTCAGGCCACTTGCCCGTGCTACCCAGAGTCTAGACAGGGAGACTCATGTTTTGTGTGGCAGCCTGCACGAGCTGACAGGTTTGACTCAGCAGATTCTTTTTGAAGCAAGTGGCAAAAGGTGGTAACTTACTGCGTAGGATCACCAACTGGTTTTACTCATAGATCGGTGATAGGCAGGCTAATTTTGAGCTGACGGATCGATCCGCCCATCGGAATATATCCTATTCCCGCTCCATCTTTCCAGCTTTCTTACTCTTTGAGATTCCCAATCAATCTCACGATCCTCAAGTCTCGGTCGCTGAGAACCTGGCTCAATACCATGATCTACATTGGCGCCTACCTAATCACGGGCAGTGAAGCTAAGCTCCAAGTCAAGCGGCAATCACACCCCCCCTTGGCCAATCATACCCCAATAAATCTCCGCAGGGCCTCCACCTGGATCGACAGCCATTGTTGACAATGAACGCCCGCACGTGCAGCCCTGACTCGATGCTCCTCGTCCGGAGTTGCCAGGTGACAATGCATGAGCTTCGTGGGGGCGGATTCCCGTGGTTGAGTGCAACAAGAATCCTGTTTCCAGATTCTATAAGTACAAGTGCAGTCCGCCATCCGGCCGATCCCGCCCCGTCCCAAAGCATAGCTTCGGTTGGGCTGAACTTGAACACCACTGCACCTAGACACAATCATCACCCACGATGTTCGTCAAGTCCGTCTTCCCGTTCTGCATCCTCGCAGGCACTGCCCTGGCCGATGCGACCGTGTATCTCATCCGACACGGCGAGAAGCCCAGCAACGGGAGCACCGGGCTCAGCGCGCAGGGGGTGGAGCGGGCCCAGTGTCTGCGGAACGTCTTCGGGGCGGATTCCGCCTACAACATCCAGTATATCATGGCTGAGGCCCCGAAGAGTGGTATGTCTCTTCTTCTATTCCCTTTCTTCCCTCATATCCACGGTGAGCGATGGATGTACGATCGTGCCTTTCGCTAACGATCAACAGACGGCAAGCGAGACCGCCCGTATCTGACCGTGCTCCCGCTGGCGGAGGATCTGGGCATCACCGTCGACACCTCGTGCGCCAAAACCGATGCCAAGTGCGTCAAGAAGGTCGTGGAGAACTATACCGGGGACGGCAACATCCTGATCTGCTGGGAGCATGGCGAGCTGACCGACATCGTGGAGGAGCTGGGGGATGATGATGCCCCGACGTATCCGGATGATAGGTAAGTGGTCGACTTTTGTCTGATGAAGGGTATCTAGAAAAAGGTCTGCAGTCACTGACTGTCAATTCGCGTGCAGCTTCAATCTCATCTGGACGGATCCTTCCCCGTACACCGACATCACGGCGGTCACGAGCGAGAACTGTCCTGGACTTGATAGCTAGATTGCTGTCGCGGGTATCACAGGGTTAGGTAGTTGAGAATGAAACTTTTTTTTTTGGTTGGAAGACCTCCATACTGCATGGAAGCTGTCGACCACGAGATGGCAAGATTCGCAAATGGTCCTGGTGGCCTGACAAGTTGTTTGTGGTGAAGAGAATTCGTTGTATGTGTGTAGCCATGTCTCAGGTGCCAGCACGTCATTAACCGTCCCGAGCACACATACCCATACTTCGGGCGCACCGACGCCAGCCGACCGGGAAGACCTCTCCTCCCACCATGACATCTGGTGGCGACCATAAGGCAGACAATCACCACCCATCGAACACGTCGAGAACTCGCCGATCAATGCATCGAAGTCCGTGGCCACCTTCTAGTGTATATACGATAGTCTTATGCTCTAAGGTGGGAAAACCTTTAGTCTAGTTGCACGAACAGGTCGAGGGGCGGCGATAATAAGAGCCACGCCACGCCACGTTCCGACCCACGACCGCCCACCACGAGATGCAGGCACTAGGAGCGGAGGTTTTACTCGAATTGGCACCCTCGGTCGTGCGTTCCCCACGATGTATCTGCTGGGGACGAGGACTAGGAAGTGCGAGTGCGGACGACGGAGCCAGCCAGGCCCCTGTCGGTTGCCCAGGATGGGGATCCTGCTTCAAGCCATTTTCGGTGGCGATTCGTAATGTAATGGTCGCATGCGATAGGGATGTGAGAAATTGGGATTTCTGCCGACTCTAGATACGGGATACCTTGTGCATGGCTGTAATCCGCCAAGCAAAGCCTCTGTCTTGGTTGTTGTTGTGGTTTTGCTGGGCGAGAGAGATAAGCAAAGACAAGAAGGCTTCGCGGGAAGCCAAGTGTGCTGGGCAGGGGCTGCCGGCTTGGTTATCTCTTTTGCCTCTCTCTTGGCCTGAACGCTTCTCGGTAAACCACGGTGGATGATACGATATCTCAATTCTTACCAGGGTCAGCCTTTAGCTACCACCAGCTGAAAAGGCCATGGCGACCAATTGACACCCTCCCAATGATTTCGAAGGCAACCGAGGTGGTCACCCGATCTGGATGCATGCACCAACACACGAATGGCGTCAATGCCGATTATCAGAAATTAATCTGTGCTCGATGGCGCAAGTTCCCGTGCATCTCTTATCATTGTCGGTGTCGAGTCGGGATTGGTGCATTCGCCCTGTGCATGCGGGCTGATAAGCATCAGCTAACCCTAACTAGGCTTCGAGCCCCGGTCTAGTGCTTTTGGGTCTTCCTGCAATCACCCCCAGGCTCTGCGCAGCGTTGCATTCCACTCGCTGTCCGACGGCTGTGAGATCGCTGGAATTCGCCCTACCCTCCTTGGCAAGGCCATATCGCCGCCGGGGATCCGTCCTGGGGTCAAGCGATGGAGATATAAGAACAAACACGATGCAGCCATTGCTTTCCTGCTGCTGCTGTGTCCGCAACCCCTGACCCCAGCCATCGCCACCTGACACAATGCGTATGTTTTAGTCTTTGACCAGTGAATCTCCCTCACTGACGTGCACCAGCTGCCCTAGCTGCAGAAAACCAGGTCGTCGACGCCATCAACCATGGCGAGGTGACCACGGTGATCAGCCATGCCACCCACCCTGACCCGGAGAAGTTGAACTACGAGGTCGACACCACGACCATTGGCCACGACGAGGACTATCCCGCTCCCACGGAGGCGGAGCTGAGCAGCCTGCGCAAGATCCCCGCCAACCTGCCCATCGTGGCCTACTCGCTGTGCTTGGTCGAATTCGCCGAGCGTGCCTCCTACTATGGTGCGCAGACGGTGTTTTCCAACTTCATCGAATTCCCGCTGCCCAAAGGTATGTGTGCCGGCTCCTATCTGATTTAGGGGGGTCCAGACTAACCCAGGATAGGTGGTAACGGGGCTGGTGCTCCCCCACGGGGCACGCAAGAGACCGCCGGTGCCCTGAACATGGGTCTGCAGGCGAGTGATGCTTTGGTGCTGCTGTTCCAGTTCCTGGCCTACGTCGTTCCCATCTTCGGCGGATGGTAAGATCTGTCCCATCCACCTTCGCCTTCGTCTTCACTGACAAGTTATCAGGTGGGCCGACGTCCACATCGGCCGGTACAAGGCGATCTGCATCGGCGTGGCCATCTGCGGTGTGGCGCACATCATCCAGATCATCGGGGCCATCCCGTCGGTGCTGCAGCAGGGCGCGTCGCACGCGGCGCCCCCGTTCATCATCGGGCTGCTGATGCTGGCGTTCGGGGCGGGTGTCTTCAAGCCCAACATCGCGCCCACGGTGCTGGACCAGTTCCGCCACCAGAAGCAGTACACCAAGACGCTCAAGTCCGGGGAGAAGGTGATCGTCGACCCGGAGATGACGGCGACGCGCACGATGCTGATCTTCTACGGGGTGGTCAACGTCGGTGCCTTCTACATGCTGGCCACGACCTACGCCGAGAAGTACGTGGGGTACTGGCTGGCCTTCCTGCTGGCGGGCTTGGTCTACTTCATCCTGCCGGTGGTGCTGGCCCTAGTCTACAAGAAGACCTACCGGCTGCCGCCCAGCGGGAACTCGGAGTTGGGCCAGGCCATCAAGATCACCATGACCGCGCTGCGCGAGAACAAGTTCCAGGTGTGGCGCAAGAACTTCTTCGATGCCGCCAAGCCCAGCGTCCTGGCGGCCAAGGGGATTACCGTGAGCTGGTCGGATAAGTTGGTCGACGATGTGCGGAGAACCCTCGGTATGTCCCAGCCCCGATCACCCCTCCTCCATCCTCATATACTAACGCGACAACAGTGGCCACCGAGATCTTCTTCTACTTCCCAATCTACAACCTGAACGACGGGGGCATCGGCTCCGTCCTCTCGAACCAGGGCGCCTCGATGACGACGAACGGGGCCCCCAACGACCTGCTCAACAACTTCAACGCGCTGACGATCATCGTGGCAGTCCCCATTCTGAACTACGGGATCTACCCGCTCCTGCACAAGTACAACTGCCACCCGGGGCGGATCACGCGCATCACGTTCGGGTTCTTCCTGGCGACGATCGGCGGCGTGGCGGGCGCCATCGTGCAGTACCGCGTCTACAAGACCTCGCCGTGCGGCTACTACGCCTCCTCGTGCGCGACCGGCGTCTCCCCCATCAGCATCTGGTGGCAGCTGCCCAACACCATCCTGTCCGCGCTGTCCGAGATCTTCTGCAACGTCACCGCGTACGAGCTGGCGTACGCGCGCTCGCCCGCCAGCATGCGCGGCCTCGTGATGGCCATCTTCCTGTTCATGACCGCGCTGAGCAGCGCGCTCGGCGAGATCCTCGTCCCTGTGACCGAGGACCCCTATCTTATTTGGATCTGGGCCGCGCCGGCGATTGCGCTGGCTGTGCAGGGCGTCTTGTTCTGGTTCCGGTTCAAGCATTTGAATAATGACCAGTTCATGACGGATGAGAAGGATTATGACGGGGAGGAGGTGGAGGGGGCGCGGAGTGAGCCGAGTGTTGTCGGGGAGGAGAAGGAGGTCGTGAAGAGTGGGTAGTTTACTTTCGTTTACTTGAATTGGTGGGTGGCTGGGCTGGGGAGCATGGTGAGGGTTAATGGGTTCATGTAAGATCGACGGGAATATTGAGGTTGAGGGTATATGTCTAGGTGAATTAATCTAATCTCTACGCTTCTATCACCACAAAAAGTCAACAGCTCCTGTAATGTACACCGTACTATTCCTACAGCCCTCCTCCCACCTAGGCATCGGCATCCACCTCATAAGCAAAGGGAATACTCTGCATCGCCCCCTTGCGCTGCACGCACCCGGCCGCCGCGCGATTCGCCAGCCTCACCGCGCCCTCCACCAGCCCATCGAACTCCTCCAACCGCCTGCCCTGCGCCACGAACCGCGCAAACGCCGCCGTGAAGTACCCGACAAACGTATCCCCGGCGGCGGTGGTGTCCACAACCTTGGCCACCTTCTCCGCGGCGACGCACCCGCTCGTGCCGGACCGGGTCGAGAAGAAGGCCCCCTTGGCGCCGAGCGTGATGAGCACGATACCCACCTCGGCCGCCTCATGGAACCGCGGCGCCAGCACGCGGGCCAGCGTCTCAGGGTCTTCCTCATTTGCTGCCCCCTGCTCCAACCCCAACGCCTTCGCCATGAGAACCGCCTCCGTCTCATTCATCACCAGCACGCTCGTGCCCCTCAGCGCCTCCAGCGGAATCCCCTCCGGAAACACCGGCGCCGGGTTAAAGACCACATGCGCCCGCGCATCCCGCTGGTTATAATGCTCCAGCAGCCCCAGCACCGTCTCCCGCGGAATCTCCCCCTGCAGCACCACCACCTTCCTATCCTCTTGCGAAGCAACCAACCCCTCCACTCCCTGCACCACCACGTCCACGGAGTTCATCCCAACATGGTTGGCCCCGGGCACAACCGCAATCCGGTTCTCGCCGCTCTCCTCCTCGACGATGATCGTCGCGGATCCCGTGCTCGCGTCTGCCCGCTCGGTCACACCCGCTACGCTGACGCCGGAACCTTCGAGGAGTGGTCGCATCAGGGCGGAGTAGTATGGGTCGTTGGCCCCCACCGCGCCGACCATGTAGACGTTCGCGGCGTGCGTGGTGGGGGTGGTGTGTGCGGCGCGGCCGCAGGCCACGGCTTGGTTGGCGCCCTTGCCGCCGGCGGAGATGGTGAGGCTGGTCGCGGTGAGGGTTTCGCCTGCTTGGGGGCAGCGTGGTGTGTAGGTGACGAAGTCGGTGTTCAGGGAGCCGATTATGAGGATTGAGGGGGGCGACATTTTGTGGGGGGTGGTGGTAAGGTGGGGAGCGGGGTTGAGACTGAGGTAAGGTTCTGAGAATTGTTGGGGCTGAGAGGTTAGTATTTTGTTTTGGGGGGTCGATTGATGGTAGAACTTACAGTTGAGACTGAGAGGTGAGAAAGAGGAGTTGTGTTGTGTTGTGTTGTGTTGGGCAGAGAAGAGAAGAGGAAGTAAACAGATTATTGTTGCATGCAATGCGATGCGACGAAAGGGTCGTGTGAGCGGGGAAGAAGAGGGACGATCAGTCAGCAGATCACGTGCATGACGTAGTCGCGATAAGATAAGCTGATAGTGATAAGGTAGTGTTTACACGAAGATATGAGGGCCTGGAAGAATTTCATGTCTATAACTTTGGGTTGTAGACTGTAGTAGTCGGGGACGGCTCATCCAGAGGATTTCCTCGGTAAGATATGTAATTCTAGTGTCAACTTGGCTTTCGCTAAGCATACGGACACAAACCTTCCAGCTGGAATATACACAACCCTACTAGTACCCGCGCTTTAAACCTCGGCAGCAGGCAAGTTACTGCGTGCGCAGTGCATAGTTCACTCAATCTGGAGTCAGGACTAGCTCCCAAATTCTGCAGAAAAAGAAGCTATATTCTAAGGACTTATACACTATAGTACTCATCATCTGCAACGGAGCAGGTCCAGCTAACCCCAACCAGGCACCCACATATCGGCATCCCCTCCGCTCGCCATTTTAGGACCTCTGATGCAATCTGCAAGCCAAACAGCCACCACTGCACAGACACAAACCCCCTGACAGGTCCGAGAAATTCCCCGAGCTCCTGCATGCCATCCCTCCGACACGGGGTACATACCCGTCAACCTTAATGTAGTCCAGCCGTTGCAGTTCTTCAGCGTCCATCACCGCCATACCGCAGCATAGCAGTATATAAGAGCCACCCTCCCATACCCAAAACACCCAGTAGACAGCACCTTCCACTTCACCCCCATCATACCATCCTAAATCAAAAAGCAAAATGCTCTCCCTCCTTCTCACCCTCATCGCAACCAGCACCCTCACCCTCGCCTCTCCCTCCCCCCTCCACAAACGCTCCGTCACCTGCCTGAAAGTCGGCGCCACCGCGACAGCATCATGGACCAACAGCGCCGGCCAGAGCTGCACGTACACCGGCGTGGTGGGCAGTAACTACGGCGAGAACAGTGCGGGAGGCGAGTACGTCGTTCCTCTCATTTTCCCCCCACACATTCAATTCGATATACATCCTGACCAAAGAAAGCTACTCGTGCAACGGCCGCTGCGGCGCCGGGTGTACCGGCACGGCCATCGGCAACGTCTACACGCAGGACTGCTGGTCGCATGACATCTGCAGTTACTTCAACAATGCGTCGGGTGGGGCGAGGTATGTCCTTTTCCTTCCCTTTCAACCCTCCCACTAGGATGGTGTGGGTTCGGGGTAGAGGCAGGCTAACGGGATAGTGACCCCAACTGCGGCGCGGCGTACGAGGCGGCCGAGGATGATTTCCTGTTGGGGTATGTGGATGGGTGCTCGCAAACGAACCCGACGAATGCGGTGGTCAAGCCGACTGTCTCGCCAGTTTGTTCTTAGCGTTCTCCAGCCGGGGTTCTAGATTAGCTATCACGGGCGCAAGGAGGACGGAGATGCGACGGCACTGTATTCTTACACTTCACTTCACAGAGTATACGATACATCTTCTGTATCAATCTAAGAACTGGGTAAACAGGGTAAACAGGGTATCACTCCAAACATAGAACCGCAGACTTTAGAAAAAAAAAAAGAAAAAGAAAATTCAAACAAAGCCAGAACGGCCCAAGAACGAAAAAATAAAGCCCAGAGCAAGACAAGTCGCATCGCACTCAAACCGCCGATAGATACCCCCGCCCATTCTCCAACGGCAGCGGGGACTCCGTCAAGGCCATCCCGATATCATCCTGCAACTGACTCAGCCCGGGCTTCCGCGCTTTGCACGGGGGAGTCTCGCCCGTTGAGGAGCCCCGGCTGTGGCTCTCGTTAGCGGAGCTGTGGATGCCGATGAGCCAGGGGCAATGGAACCGCAGGAACTGCCGGAAGTACGGCAGGCAGCCGCAGATGATGATGAAGTTGGCTTCGATGACGCTGGATGGGTGGTTAGCAGTTCGCCTCGACAAGAGGAATCAGAGCGGGCGGCGCGTACATGAACACACTCGCCAACGCAAGCTTATACGTCGGATCCACCGAGGTCACCAACGGCCATAATGTTACGAGGCGCACGATGCTCGTGACGATTGTCCTACCGTCCATAATCATTAGCCAACCCATCCTCCGTCTACCCAAGAAAAAGAAGACGTACAAACACCCCACCAAAAACATCCCAAAGACCCCCACCTTCTGCACCGTCGGCAAGGTCAACTTCATCACGATGGGCACGGGAATCAGAATCAACACCACGTCGCTCAGCGTATTCGTCACCGCGGTCGCCATGTAGATCCCGGGCCGACTGATGCACCCGCCCGTCGTGTCGGTGACGTCCCAGTTCCGGCCCACGGGGTGGCACGCGAAGATCAGGGCCAGCATCAGCGCGATGCTGTACGCGATGATGAAGATGGCCACCCCGTTTATCACGTACTTCCAGAACCGGATCATGCTGAGCAGCCGGTAGTAGAGCATCAGGAGCGCGATCTTGGCGAGCGCCAGGCTGGAGATGTAGATTGTGGCGGCGGGGACGACGTACCTTTTTTTTTTTGGACCGGGGTTAGTGGATGAAGTTTAAGATTTTGGGAATGGGGAGGCCAGACGCACCTTGAGATAGGTGTTGATCTGGTCCGGTGTCAGAAACCAGATATGCACGCCAATGTGCGTGTGCTCGAATCCGTCTGCTTCAGTTAGTGCCCGCTGACTCCCTTAAGACAGATTAGAGTGCAACGCACAGATGATAGTCCCCTGCGTCGCCATAGAAATGACCTATCGCATGTGAGCACGCTCTGTTTACCACGGCGTAAAAACAGCGACATCATACCCAGGCGCATATTAAACACACTGCGACAACGACAATCAGCCTCGACCCAGCCAAGCTTTCGGAGGCGTACGCACCATCATCCCACCAGAACTTCTTCATAATCCTGATCTTCGTGTACACCCGCATCACCAGCAACAGGGTGCACACGGCGATCCCCACCGTCGCCAGTGCCAGATTCGTCGTCCGCAGCCAGGCGTGGCCGGGACTGCCGGTGGTGTTACTCGCTGAAGCGGCTGCGCTGGCTGCCTCCATGATGAGGTGCCGTAGAGGGTACAAATACAGAGAACGGGGGCATGATTGCTCCACCGGGAGAATGGTTTGACGCTTTTTGCCTTCGCGATGGGGAAATGGGGCGGCGGGGTGGGATTTTATACTGGGGAATTAAGGTTAGGGAGGATGCACGGATGCACGCATCATCGACTCGGCCAGTTGCCGATCTGGCAAATGACATCCGGCGGCGATGCACTGCCTCTCCCTCCAACCAAGATCCACCCGATCGTTGAACTTCAATTAAAGCTTGACTTCGTATCTTATGTTCTCATTTAATTTTTAACTCGTATCACTCATCATTAAATACTACTCTAGTCGTCGCATCTATACATCTCATCCAAATGAGCACGTCATTATATATACACATTTCAGAACCGCTCAGACTTTTCAACTCCACGCTCACGCCCCCATCATCACGAATCCAATGCAAAGCATCGTTCCACGGAATCAGCATTGTTGCCCCACCAGTTTGGCATCGACACCCGCTTGCCGGATCCAAAGAACAAGAAGATCAGCAGCATGTTCAAATTGAACCCTGCGTCGAACGCCGCCGCAATCATATAGCTGTATCGCTTCCACACCTCGAAGCGATGGCGGTAGGCCCAGTACATCACCACGTAGCCGCCGATGAAGGCCGACGTGTATCCCGTGCTGAGATTACCGTAGAAGACCGCCATCCCCGAGAAGAAGATGCTGACGTTCCACAGGTCGATCCGCAGCCACTTGGGCAGCAGGCGATGCGCGATGTAGAGGATGGGCGGCAGGACCGCTCCCACCAGGAACGCCCACGGCAGGGGACGCATCTCAGCTTCCTTGAACAGACGGCTGGGGCCAAGTACGGCGTACTGGACACCAAGAGTGTTGGAAGACTTCAGGGACTGCCCAGACCACTGCCCAAGCGGATCGGTCGTCTGCCCGGACAAATAGTCACCCTTGGTGTCAAGCACCCATCGAATCACCGCATAATTGATCGGAATGCCCAGGATCGTACCGAAGACCTGGGAGAAGAAAACAGTCTTGGGAGGAATATGCATGTAGTGGCCGATCTTCTGGTCCTGAAGCATGTACTGCGCCCGATACCATGCATCACCGGCAATAGAGCCATACACCGAGGGTCCGCAAGGGTGACGGTGCCCGGCGCCCGCTTTGGTCTCCACCATGTATCCATAAACCAGCTCGTTGAATGAGCCAGCGGCGATCTGGTAGTTCGAAATGGCGTACAAGAAACCAAACGGCAACACCAGCGCGCCTGCGGTCGACAACCCCACAAAGAGCGTCCAAATCGGAATCCAGAGATAACCACAAGCCAGGATGACAATCAGAGCCACGAACCCAGCCATGAAGAGAGCCACGTACCACCACAGAGGTACTTCTTTATAGGCACGTTGCAGCACATTCAGCCGGTCGTGATACTGCCAGTTGAGGCCTTGGTTGGGAGTCTCCGAGACCTTCTTGCGGGAGGCAATGAACTTCTTCACGTTGGTGTAGACCTGTGTCCACCCAAAAGTCAAGATCCAAGTCACGGCGGCAGTGATTTTGGCATAGTCGAAAAATGTCGCCCAGGCATTCTGAAGACCCATGTACATCGGCCCATATTGCTCATAGGCGGTCTCATTCAGATTGTAGTTCGACGTGAGCACCTTCAGGGTGGGATAAGTGGTGCCGTTCGCCATCATCAGCGAATTGGACATCAATCCGTACTTGAACGACCCCAGGTTGCCCCATTTGGCCGCGGGTAAAAGCACCCAACAGTTGAACACAAACGCTGCGAACAACACCACCTGGGTCCACCAGGGAGTCAACAGGATCGAAGACCCGTTCCAGTTGATGTTGGACCAATCGAGCGACAGGTTCAGGAAGCCCATTCCTCCTATTCCAGAACCAATGAAGTTGGCCACCGGGTTACGGGGGGCAACCCAACACAGAAAGGCCAGCGACGAAGTGAAGGGGAAGACATACTCCGGCAGGAATTGCCACAGTGTCATACCCAGCAGAGAGAAGAAGAAGATCTTCATTTGTCGGCGCGCAAGGGGCGACGATCGGTCTTGCTTGCGGAAACTCTCGAAAAGGGTCGTCTGCATGAGTGCCTGAGGCCAGATAAACATGGGGTCGTACAGCAAGACCTGACGCACGAGGGCGGCAAACGCGTATCCAATCCAGACAATGGCAAACATGAAGAAAATGGCAACCCCGGCATTGACCCGCTCACCATAGAATAGCTCGGCCATGGCAATGGGGGTGTAGCCCAGATTGTAGGTCGCTCCGGAGGCGGCAGTCAGGGTGACGAGCACGTGCTCCTTGATGCTCCATGGCGCGGGGTTGAGGTTGAACGACCAGCGGGTGAACGGCAACCGAACCTCCCAGGCTGGAAGCACTCGAGCCAAGAAGTGACCGGCGTAGTGACAGGCAATCTGGACGAAGAAGACGGAATACGGAGCCTCCCGAGTACGGAAGTGACTCATCATCGAAAGGAAAGCTCCGGGACAAACAAAGATGATACATAGCACAAAGTAGCGGAAGGTAATCGTTGGCAGCGTCGGATCGTCGGTGAGACTGACTAGTTGGCGGACCTCCAGTGGCAGCGCGGTAATCTCAGGATCGTCCTCAACCTCCGCCTCGGCCACGGTCGGCTCTCCAGATTTCGGGTCAAGCTCCGGATCCCGCTTCAGATTGTCCACTGGGACGTTGGTGATTGAAGGCGTCTCGGATGTGGGTGTGAGCGTTGGGTTCTCGCTGTAGCTGGTGAACCTGGCTCCTGAGGTAGCGTCCTCGGACCCGTCCGAGTCGTGTTTCCGACGAAAGATGGTGGGCAGACCCATCTTGCACTGTCCAACCCAGAAGGGTGTGATTCTTTGCTATTGGCGATGAGAAACATCTTGACAGCTTGGTGAGCGCGCGCGGCCTTATAGAGGAGAATAGGCAGTTTGTCATTAGTTTCTGGGCAAAATGGCGTGCTCGCCAACACGACAGGCCTAATGCCAGAAATGGTCACAAACGTGCATGTTGTTCGGGCGAATTCCGAAGCCACGGGATGCAACTGGATGCATGGTAAAGTTGGGTGGATGCAAGGGCTTTGGCACAGGGCCAGACTGGTGGATGAAAGATGGCGTTATCTGTGGAATCTTATTCGCGATCCGCCGGATGATTCCTAGCTTGGACGGTTCAAGGGCGCTGATTCGCCGAGCGAGATTAAACTTAGTCAACGGACCGTGCCTGAGCCAGCTTAGAGAGTCTGGCTGGATCGGTTTCTGCTCTGGTGTTCGACTCTGGCTTCTTTCTCTCGGGGGAATTGACTAATTGCGGCGGGGTGGAGTTTACACCGAGAGGCACACGCGGCGGATCTTCGGCGGCTCACGTGGCCGACTGACCAGTGATTTTTTTCTGTTCTGAAGCTTGCGCGGGAAAAGCTCGTTTGGAGTGGGTCGACTCTGGCACTGTTTGTTGCTTGGGGGTTTGGCACTGCTGGTGGTCGTCTTGCTGAATCCCCACGGGTTTAGATACCAGGCATTATCTCGGAAAAGAAGGGGAATCATTGCCACTGCCACTTTTGTTTATTTTTTTCGTCAGTCACTGTGAAGATCATCCCATAAAAGTCACACAGGGAACGCACCAATGCAGCACAAGCAGGGATAACGCGGCCTGTGGTTGTGGGTGGCGTTGGCCAAGCGTGAGCCACTTCTTCTGGAGTCGCATCCGTGGACGGCCACCGGAGCGATCGACAAGGTCTCCGGCCAGATCGAGGTGGTATGCAGTACGCGCTGCGCTTGCTCTGGACAGAAAAGCTTCCGACAGTAACCGTGACCTTGACATGCATAACAAGACAAGGCTGATGGTTAAAAGTGATAGGTGCCAGTCAAGGAAATCAAGGCAGTCAAGCAGGTTGAGAATAACGAAGGAGTGGGGGAAAGCGAGAAGTCACGATGACGTCCTTCTCCCATCAACGTCACCGCCCTGGAATCTGCCGCGACCGTCGCTCCCAGCGAGATCTATAAACCATTCGGTCATGGACTCTCTTCTTCTGTACTCTCCAATTCAGCATTTATCTTCTCTACACACGCAGTCAAGATGACGGGTCACACCAGAAAGCACAAGGTCGCCGTGGTCGGCTCAGGAAACTGGTCCGAACGCCCCCGTCCCCCGTCCCCCGCCAACCGCCTCCGCATCCTCCTGACATCACTGACACATCTCTGCAACCAGGGGCTCGACCATCGCCAAGATCATCGCTGAAAACACCAACGAACACCTCGACCTCTTCGAAAAGGAGGTGCGCATGTGGGTCTTCGACGAAGACATTGAAATCCCGGAGTCCTCCAAGCACCACAGCAAGCTAGGCGGCCAGAAGCGCAAACTCACCGAGGTGATCAACCAAGTCCACGAGAACGTGAAATACCTGCCAGACATCGCCCTGCCAGACAATGTGGTGGCGGACCCAGACCTCAAGTCCACCGTCAAGGATGCCACGCTGCTCGTCTTCAACCTGCCGCACCAGTTCATCGGCAAGACGCTGGACGGGATCGCGGGCCACATCCTGCCGTACGCGCGCGCCGTCTCCTGCATCAAGGGGGTGGATGTCTCCGACGGGACGGTGACGCTGCACTCGGAGCTGATCATGGAGCGGCTGGGGATCTACTGCGGGGCGCTGTCGGGGGCCAACATCGCGCCCGAGGTCGCGGCGGAGAAGTTCTGCGAGACGACGATCGGCTACGACGTGCCGCCGATGGATCTAAAGGAGCAGGATGACTCGGCGGAGGCCAACCTGATCAAGATCGACGAGCAGCGGCAGTGCAAGGCGAAGCCGACGCACGTCCGGCTCACCCCCGTGCCGCCGGAGCTGCCGCACGTCGACGCCGAGCTGCTGGAGACGCTGTTCGCGCGGCCCTACTTCCATGTTCACCACGTGCGCGACGTCGCTGGCGTGGCGCTCGGCGGCGCGCTGAAGAACATCATTGCCCTCGCGTCGGGCTTCGTCGCCGGCAAGGGCTGGGGCGAGAATGCCAAGGCCGCCATCATGCGCGTCGGCGTCCTCGAGATGGTCAAGTTCGGCCGGACCTGGTTCCCCAAGTCCGTCGAGGAGCGCACCTTCACCGAGGAGAGCGCCGGCATGGCCGATCTGGTCTCCTCCTGCAACGCCGGTCGGAACTACCGGTCGGCCTGCCACGCAGTGGAGCAGGGGGTCAGTGTCAAGGAAATCGAGGAGAAGGAGCTCAATGGACAGAAGCTGCAGGGCACGTCCACCGCGTACGATATCTATGAGTTTCTCGAGAAGCAGGGCAAGCTCAAGGAATTCCCCTTGTTTGTCGCAGTTCACGGTATGTTCCTTCCCCTGGTGCTTACAGAGGGGGTAATGCTGACATGTCCCAGATATCCTTGAAGGCACTGCTAAGGTGGAAGATCTTCCAGCATTGATTGGGGGAAGAAAGAAGATCGAAGGCTAGAGTGGTTCGAAACTACTTGGTAATGATAGACGTAACGATAACGAATATATAAACTGATGAACTGAGACTGTATTATTGTTCCAGTGACGACCAAGCTGTGAAGACGAGTTATTTGACCAACACCTAAATCAAAAACTTTTCTAAAAGTAGCGCTTCATGTAACAAGCATATAATAACAGAATCCCCGAGCAATACTATCATCCTAGAGGAGCTGGTGGTAGTGGAAATCATCGTGATGGTGGTGGTGCTGCATTCAATATTGCGGGAACGGTCGGCACGAAGTGGGTCGTATAGTTCATCTCGAATTTTGGAAACTTTTTCGCTCTAGGCCAAGCTGTAGAGATACAACTGTTTGATTATGCACATATTCTCATCTAGTCCACGCGGATGACATCATCTCCCTAAGCCTCCTCTCGATCCATATCATCCCTGTTCCTCTTCTTCCCCCGTCCGCCCCGACCCTTGGTATCTTTATCCTGCAGGTCCCGCATGGCCATGGCCGCTTGTCGCTGGGCCTCGTTCACTCGGTCGCTGAACACCATGACCTCGTCCTTCTCCGGCTTGTACTCGTCCAGCTTCTTGTTCAAGACGCCCTCGATCCGCAGCCATACTTCCACTTCATACTGAGTGACAAACGAAATGGCAATACCGCTCTTGCCTGCACGAGCCGTTCGACCCACACGGTGGATATAGGTCTTGCTGTCCTGAGGCAGGTCGTAGTTGAGGACAAAGTCGACGGCGGGGATATCCAGACCACGCGCCGCAACATCCGTGGCCAGCAGGAGATTGCGCGACCGGGCGCGGAACTTGCTCAACGACGCCAAACGAGCGCTCTGCGAGAGTTGACCGTGAATGGGGATGGCTCCGAAGCCGAGATTGCGCAGCAGGAAAGCCAGGCGCTGGGTTTCGTGCACGGTGCGTGTGAAGATAATACCCAGTTGTCCCGCGCGCTCGTTCAGCAGGTGGACCAGGTAGACGTCCTTGAACTTGTGTGGGATGAACATGTACGACTGGGAGAGATTCGTGGCGGTCTGGTTCTTGGCGGAGACGGAAACGCGGACAGGGTCGGACAGGGACGCCCGTTGGAGGGACTCGACCTTGTTGGACATGGTCGCGGAGAACAGGTAGGTTTTTCGGCGCGGCAAGAGGCGAAGAAGCTTGTCTAGGATGGGACCGAAGTCCAGATCCAGAAGTCGATCGGCCTCATCCAGCACCAGGTATTTCAGGTTCTTGAGCGAGAAGCCCTTTGTGTTTTCCAGGTGATCCAACAGACGTCCCGGCGTCGCCACGATGACATGCGGTTTCTTGCCCAGGGCCATCGCCTGCGACACCATATCCATACCACCGATCAATAGTGTACATCGCACGGAGATCAGCGACCCTAGGGCTTCCACGGTTTGGGCAATCTGCTGCGCCAATTCTCGAGTGGGCGCGACGATGAGGGAGTGCAGTGTTTGGGGTTGGTCCATCAGTGCTTGCAGGATCGGGAGCACAAATGCGGCCGTTTTACCACTACCCGTCTCAGCGAGACCGATCAGATCTCGTCCTTCTAAAGCGATCGGAATACAACGGGCCTGAATGGGAGTGGGCTTCTTGAAGCCTAACGAGTCGCAGGCCTCGCACAGGGAGTCAATGACTCCCAGTTCTTGGAAAGTTTCTGCAAGCTTCGTGGTCGACTCGAGTTCGGAATCGGCGATCGGGGTCGCGTCCGCCTCCGGTGAGGCATCTTTGGCAGTTTTGCCCATTGTGCGGATTGGATGGTATTTTCTGAGTGAGACGAGGAGATTAGAGGAGGTAGCAGGAACAGCAAACGGTTGTGGGATGGATCGCGGCTCACGAAGGTCTGGGGTGTTGTCCTGCCACCGCCAGGAGGATTTCCAAAAAATTCCATGTGAGCGGCGGAACTTCTGTTGATCCGGAGGATCGATAGCTTATCAGTGGGGCGTTATCGGGTATTCTGCCACCGCCATGTCGCTCAGGCCGAGATCTTCTGCCAGCTGGGCGGTGAGAGGGCGGTCAAGGATGGATGGACTAGATTGATCTCAATTTATCTACAGCACACACGTACATAATAGTTAAGAAGCACCGCACAGGATGTCTCACTTTCCGTCAAGCTTGAACCGCCATTCATTCCTCTCGTTACCCATATAATATGACAAGCGCGCATGAATTTGATCCTCGGATATAGTCACAGACACCCCACGCGGCGACGGAGTGTTATTTGCAGGTTCGCCGGTGACTCCCTCCGTATCCCCGCTCGGCGGCGCCGAACCGGCCGTAGACTCAAGTTTCATGATCTCGGTAGCAATACGAGCACCTAGATTCGAGTCCCATGGTCCTTCACGGTGCGGCCAGGACCGTAGAGCCTCAATCGCCCGTTCGCGGACTCTAAAATTCCAACATCCGGTGGCTACGAAGAAAAGTGGCGGAATAATGCCCATGTCCATGCAGACACTAGGCCGGTCGGGAAACTTGTCCGTTACTTCCTCAACGCGAGCCAGCAGACGCTCGAATCTAGGAGTATAATTGTCCAGCAGCGGGTGGCTGCTGTCCAGAAGACAGGTCTCCAGATTCAAAGACGCCGCGATCTGATGGAGGTGAATGACGTCTGCACTGCGTTGCTCTTTCGCGCTCAGCTTGTAATATCTTGTGGCACGGAAGTGGTCGAAGGTTCGGGCGAACTCGCTCACTTCTGCGCAGCGTCTGATCTGCTCTCGATAGAGAGACTTGTACTGTATGGCAACCTGTTCATGCGACAAGGCCTGTGTGGAGTTTGTAAAATTGAATACCGGCTCAAGAATATGGTTAAGTGCTTCCCGTGCATCAGATATGTTCCGGAAAGTGGGAGTCCCACCTGACTGCAACGTTGTGATCTCCTGCATAGAATTTCCTTTGATAAATGAACTTGTCTCCCCAAACTGGGCAGACTGAATGTCCAAGTGGGCGAAAGCAGCGACCAGGTCTCGCTCTACCGGAAGCGCACGCACACGCGACTCATCTGTCATCTTCACGCCGAACTCTTTGAGCATTCGGATGCCACTCCGAAGATGCTCGAAAGCCTTGTCATACTGGCCCCGCAGCCATTCCAAGAGCACAAAGACCAGGCAGCATAGCAAGGTGACTTCCCGCAACCGAGGGTCGTGAGATGCGCGGCGGGTATGGAGAAGCGAGAACGAGCGCATTGACTGCTCCAAGGCGAACCGATGCCATGTGTTTCCTAAGTCTTCCTTAGACAACGGCATCCCTTGCCTTTCAGAGTCTTGATGGAATGCACTCAAAGCAACGATGGCGTGATAGACCGCGGGTTCCTCGTGACCCATCTGGAGGATTAATTGCTGCCACAGGGCAGAGTCGAAGAAACCCACCATGGCGGGCATGGTGCGGAGTTGGAAGAACGAGAAGCATCGTTGTTCCTCTCGGTTCATCGTCCGGTGCACTCCTCCAACCAGGCCTGGCACAATCTGGAACTTTGCTTGAGGTGGCGTATTGGCCTTGCTTGCACGGGGTAAACGATGCTGGTCATACCCATCGCAACGCCGACCGGTAGAGGTGCAGTTGTTACACGCCCCGGGTGCTTCATCGCATTTCTTGTGACGGACTCTATCGGTGGTATATGAGAAGATGAGTTGCATACTGCGTGTGGGAGGTATATTCACCGACAAGTGCGACAGCCTGTGACTGATCTCTTACCTCCAGCTCTTTGTCGTGGCACGAGAGTGGTTTGGCCATGGCCGGAGGTACTAATTCTCTCACTCATCGCTTATATGAAGCAGAGTAGACTAGCCAGCGGAGATAAGAACAAGGATATTGAATGGTGGCAGCCTGAATCTGCGAGGGAGAATGGGAATTTAAAGGTTTGGTGGAGTTCAGCCTCCTTAGCGCGGGTGCTGCATTAACTACTGCATCTACTGCATACTAGGCATCCTTCAGCGGCAGTCATGCTAAGGGTAAGCAAATTTTAGTGCTTACGGCTTACGGCCTTACTCTCTTTAGTTATCTGCTCCACATTTATTCACACTCAGCACTTTCATTCCTCGAAGAAAGGGATTATTGAGCAATACTATAAAATGACTCTTAAGATATTTCCCCCGATGGGTGAACTCTCCACTGACCTTTATCCAGGGCCTCTTGGTCCTCATCACTCACAAGACTACAACACTAAACATCCGATGCATTCTTTGCACGCAGTTTCTGACACCCAATCTCCTCGAGCACGTTCTTGCGAATCTTGCCACTTCCCAACAGAGGAAACTCTCGGGGTAGATCATCATCTCCCAGCCAGAAGACCCGGGCCGGAGCCTTATGGTAACTCAGACTCAAGCGGACCCATTCAGCCAGCTCCTTGTCGGATGGCCGTTCTGTTCCTGGTTCCTCCTGCATGAAAGCAGCCACCACCTGGCCCAGGTAGTCGTCCGGCAGTCCAACTACACAAGCCCCTTGCACGGAGGGATGCTCGCTCAACCGATCCTCGATTTCAGTTGGATATAGGTTCTCTCCTCCTGTCGCCCTTTTAGCATTACCCGACACCCAATTCCGGTGATGGAGACGTCTTACCTCGGATAATAATGTCTTTGATGCGACCGGTCACATGGCAGTTTCCCTCGCGGTCGAAAAATGCTGCATCGCCCGTCCGCATCCACAGTGTACCGTTTCTGTCATGCGCCATAGCCGCACGCGTCTTCTCTACATTGTTAAAATATCCCTTCTGGACAAGGTAGCCCGAGACACACAGCTCGCCGCGTTGTCCGACTGCCACGATCTCGCCCCCGCTGTCAACCACCTTCGCGCTGGTGTGAGGCAAAATCACCAGGGAGCGTGGTATTCGAGTCGCATCCGCGAAATCTGGCTTCGACAAGAAGACAGCACCCGATGTCTCGGTCATTCCTGCATAACTCAAAATGAGGAATTGATGACATCGCCACCGGACATGGACATACCGTATCCGAGTGAAAAATCTTCGACACCAAGTTCATCCTTGATCTGAAGCCACAGTGCCTCTGAAGGAGCGCTACCTCCTATGAGTCCAGTTCGGAGCCGGATAGGACATTTCATGGGCTGCAGGTGCCTGTAGCGAAGGACCGCAGCGAACATGGTCGGGACGCCATGCATTCCAGTGCACTTTTCTGCTGAGAGGCAATCGAGGGTGCGAGATGCACTGAAACTTGGCGCTGGGAATACGATGCAGGCTCCATGGACGACGCATGTCATGAGGCCTAGTATCAGACCCCCGGAATGAAACAGGGGCAGTGGGTTGCAGATGATACTTTCCTCGGTCAGGTTAATGTGATTCCCTGCCAGAAAGGCATTGTTGATGATGTTCCTAATCAAGTCATTGTCAACTATGCTCGCAAGTGAGCATTGAACTTCGATTCCAGGCCTAGGAAAAATGGTCTTACTCACGCGTGTGTCAACATAGCTACCTTGGGGACCCCGGTGGTGCCGCTCGTCAAGAGGAAGCAGCATACTGTGTCACGGCCAACCTCATCCTCGAGCTGGCTGAGCCGCGTCGGGCTCACTGTATCTCCACAGACGAGAAATGACTTCCAAGAAGTCAAGTAACTGGCGTCTGGGTGATCGTCATGAACCAAGACAATGCGCTTCACCGATGGCACATCGACAGCCAGTGACTTATTGGACTCTTCGAGGTTACTCAGGAAGGCACGAGAGCCTCTATTGCCCAGACCACATGAGATGAACAGGGTAGAGCATTCTGCGACATGCCTTCAGTAAATCCCTCCCGGACATGACACTTGTCGTTATACGCACCGGTGGTCCGCAACACATTCCGCGCCTCATTTGGGGTATACGTCCCGTGAAGCAAGACTGCCACCGCCCCGATCCTGGCAACCGCAAAGAAAATCTCCACGTAGACTTCGCAGTTTCCAAGGAAGATAGCAACCCGATCGCCGCGTTGAACCCTGTAGGCTATTAGGGCTCGCGCGATTTGCTTGGTCCTAATCTCGAGGTCGTGGTAGGTCAATCGTGCCCCGGACTGGAATTCAACGACCGCTTCGCGGGAGTTGACTAGGTCGGCCTGTTGGCGGAGAAGCTGGCCGATTGTGCAGAGCTTCAGAGGGGGGTGGGACGGTCCGTGGACGATTGATTTGGGTGCAGCTGTTGAAGACATGGTGTATAGATGCTAATGCGGGCGGTCGTTTGAGTGTGGTTGGGGAGAGTTGAAGGAAGAGACTCTATTATAGCACTCGAAACCCGGACCAGTGCGGCATGCGTGAAGAGCGCCGGGACCTCATTTGAGTGCAACATTGCAACCGGATTCTCATATGCATAAGGTGGCCACTTAGCTTCCCCGTGACTGGGTGTGGCATTGAGCAAGAAGAGAAGGCGGGCTGTTCTGCAGCGGGCGTGGCGAGTGGTACTGCAGCGTGGTTCTTGCGCCGATGCTGTAGCCTGCCCTGCTTTCTCTCGCGGCTCGGCTTGAGTAATGGAAGACTCCGCTCAAGGACTCATCTTCAGATGCAACTTTGAGATTGAATTCATTGGCTCCACGCTGAAACCTAATGCAAATTGGAAGCTGATCGACAACAAACTGTTTCCTCTTCGAGGTTAGGAGCAATCTCCAACAGTCTGACCTCAAGATCCATCGCCGGAAGATCAATGTATTGATGCATGTGGCTCGTGCTGAAGCGTGCAGTGACACTCTAACCTGCACTCCAGTGGGTCTTTTGAGCCATGGTACTACAGGAGCTGGACAAACTTCCAACTTGGGTCTGGAAGCGTGGTACGTACGACGCGAAACCATGTTATCACCTGGCTGTTCGTCCAACATCGTAATTTCCGACAGCATCCCTACGGCCTGGTTCGATTGCACCGGTTGAATGGAAACAAGGAACGTCTGCGAGCAAGTGAATAAGATGAGGGGCCTAGTAGGGCATATCCAGTATGCTAACATAGCTGCTAACAATACCATATCTTAGGATTGATGCCGTTGTGGGGTGTCATCGACTATTGATGGCGTTCTTTCATCCCTAATGATAGTTTATTACTCATCACCGGTGCCAAACTTGTCCTCGGTCGTGCATTCAGTCGGAGGATTTCCTTCAAAAACATCCATCATGAAAGCCCGCGCCCCCGGCAGACCCGGCGGAATGCTAGGGGTGTGAAGAGTCTTGTGCACCCGCAGGTACTGGATCGGAACTCCCGCATCACACCATGCCTGCACCAGGGCATCATGCTCCTCAATGCCCACGGCGACTTCATCGTCCGTCCCCTTCCAGACAAACATGGGAAAGTCCGGCATCCCGTGCAGTCCGAGCACCCCGATCTCGTTGAACAAGTCCAGATTGTCACTGATGAAGCCTCGTCCAGTGTCAAACCAGTCCGTGATATTCCTGAATGCAAGCTGGGCATTGTAACCATAGATGATCTTATAGAAGTCGGCCACGCATTCCTTCCGTGCGATTTCAAGGAACGGTCGATACTTGGGGATGAGATGCTCGTCCACGTACGCTCTAAACTCGGGGTAGGCATTGCCGATCCCGACCAGAGTCCCGGCGGCTAATCCCGAGCTGAGGGTTTTTTCCACACCGACGAAGACCTCGGAGATGTTGACCGGCATACCCCCGATCGCGGCCCCGGCGATGTGAACTTCCGGCGCATAGGTACTGCGATATTCGCCTGCCCATTCCGCTGCCAAGCCACCTTGCGAGTATCCCTGCATGGTGATCGTTGCATTCTCCGACAGTCCGGTGATGTGTGTCGAGCGGAGCACGGCGCGCATGGAGTCTAGCACCCCGTATGCTGTTGTGGGGCCGACGGTGAACGCCGCATCCACTTGCAAATAGTCCGGAACGACCAGCGGAATCCCCTGATCCAGGTATGGGAGCATCCCGACCGTCAGCTCGATGAGGGCTTCGCTGGCGTTCGTGGAGGCGCCAAATTGCAGCCCGTAAGAAGGGCCGCAGTCATTGTTGGCCGAGTCGTAGCCGGTCTGGAAGGAGATGAAACGATCCAGCTTGGCCCCGAACGGGATCAAGATCGTCGTCACTGTGTAGTTGGGCAGACCGTGGGTATTGGTGGTCCGGTAGAGCAATTGATACCCTGCGGCAAGGCCTTTGGGGATCAAGAGAGCCGAGCCAACCGTCACTTGGCGGGATTTAAGGATGGAACCCGGAGGTTGCGCTCGCCAGCTGTCATCGTCAGGAGTATAGAATGGATCGCTATTTGGCGCCAGCGGCTTATTATACCCACGAGGCAGGTTAGTAGCCCCTGTGAGGGGGGTAACAGCCCACAAAAGGGCCATCAGGCGGAGAAGGTGGCTCACGATGAGCATTTTGAATAGTATGGACAACCACTGAGGAACCAACAGTGATTGCACAGAGTCATTCAGGGATGACAACATGCTCGTCTTATAGGTGCTTCCTGCCTAGAGGCGGCCTGCATCGAGCCTTCCCAACCCCCGTTGTTTTGAGTCCGGGCACCTGCTTTCTTGCTCTTTTTTGTGTCTTGGTGCGGGTTTCGTACTTCCAGGTGCTACCGTGAGATCACGGGTGTCCTTTAACCCTTTTCAGCAATCCAGGATGCATGGTGTCATTTTCCTTCTCCGAATGTGGCTGTGGCTGGCTCTTCGCGGATCTTTCCTTGACTTGGGGCTCTTCTGATCAAGCCAGAAGTCGAGGGTGTATTGCCATGGTCAAAAAACTGCGGATAATAAGCTACCGTACTCGTAGGTGGTGTACCCTTGTACCCTCTTCAATCTTAGCCCGAGCGGACAATCTTGACTCCGGCGAAAACAGCAAAGAAGGGGCCTTCAGGACAGTTCGGGGATGTGATCATTTCTAAAATCTCTCACCAGACCTGCCCTATTCATTCGTTACAAGCGACGTCGCTCCGGGACAATGCTCAATCGCACTCATCGTAGGTCCATACCGGACCTTGGGTTGAGCGCACACCCGTCCATTAACTGTTTGAACCCTCCTGTCGAGACCGGGGTCAAGGTAGGTTCAAATGGAAGATCCTTGCTAAGCGTGCAGCGGACCACGAACGTTGTCTTACACCAGGCTTGCGTGGCCTTGCGTGGAAACCACCTAGTGTCTATCTAATAGAAGCCATTGGGACCTGGAAATCCGGGGCCTCAGTGGTTGTGGCCACTGCATGAGCTTTGGGGGAAGTCGTGGACGCAGACAACGTGGTACGGATGTGAGACAGCCAAACTACTCTCCAACATTCAGAATGTAGTGTCACAGAAAGGCAAATTGTGAGGAGTAAATGATCACGAGGTACTCAAGATATTAGTCCCCCACATTCCCGATGACGGGTCCTCTGATTTACAGGGTATCGGCAACAAGTGGAGTAGGTTCGACATTTGTGTTTATCCATCCGGGGCGGCTGAAGTCACATCTGGTTGTCAGATCCATGACAACCGCATTTGTTTCTCCATGATAGTCGCTTGCACTCATGAGCTGTCCTCGTGGTAGGAAGAACTGTTGGTTTGAGATCTCGGACTCAAACAAGGTGCTTTGATGAGAAGCCCGAAGCATTCGCCTCTGGTTCCCCCGCTCCGAGCCGGAAAGCCGAAAATCCGAGGGCTAAAGCCGAGACTAACTGCCGGTTGGCTGCTGCTTTTGCCTCAGGCCTCAAGGCTTCGGTATGGGCCATCTACTAACGTTAGCAACTGTCTTCCTTCCCATGACTGCAAACCACAAATAGTTGAACTAAGAGGGGGTATGGAGCGAGTATGAGTTTAACACATGGCTTACACCCTTCATTCAAGGCCGTCGCTCATTTGAACATGCCCTTAGAGTACTAACTATCTAACTAAATCCTAACCCCGAGCCGCGGCGCAAATCAGGCAGATGACGCCACCGGCAGCGGATGGGAGCCGATGGCGGGCCTCAGTCTCGGAGATAGCCAGGATAGGCAGGCGACCAATAGACCGAGCCCGGACGATCAGATAAGGAAGATGCTCCCCGCGTGCCCTCCCGGCTCAGTCTTCTTCCGCCTATATATTTGGTGCCCGCCTACGGCGCATTCGCTTTTTGCTCATGTTCTTCCTGCTTGGAAACTCAAGATATTCGTGGATCGCGACTCTACTCTCAACTGTGACCATATCGCTGATTTTGTCGTCTCTGCTCCTCAAAATCTCCAACACTTGGAACACAGAACAGGCCACCATGGCTGCCTCGACACTAAAGAACGTTATTGTGGTTGGCGGGTCCTACGTCGGAAGGGTATTTCTCCTCAGCGTTCTCAACATCAACTGCAGTGAGTACTGACTGTATACAATAGGGAGCTGCAGAGGAGCTGGCGCGGGTTGTACCCAGCACGCACAGAGTAAGTCCCCGCCCGAGCGCGGCGGTTTGTTGATATACTAAACCAGCTCCAGGTGTTGTTGATTGAACCTCACAGCCATTTCCACCATCTTTTTGCCTTTGTGAGTCGATTGATTTTTATATGTGCCACCACAACACTCGACTAACCCGCAGCAGCCCCGATTCGCCGTTCTCCCCGGCCACGAACACAAAGCATTCATTCCCTACACCCGCCTCTTCGCCTCCTCCCCCAACTCGAACCAACACGCTGTCGTGCAGGCTCGCGTCCTCTCCGTTCAACCCAAATATGTCAATCTCGACCGCGCCTGGCAGGGCCAGAGCCAGATCCCCTACGAGTATCTTGTAGTCGCGACGGGCACGCGTCTCGCCGAACCCGCCGCGATGCGTGACGAAGACAAGGTCTCCTCCGTACAATACCTGCAGAAGCACCAAGCGGACGTGAAGCAAGCGAAATCCGTGGTCATTGTCGGCGGTGGCGCTGTGGGCGTGCAGATGGCGACCGATATGAAGGAGCTGTACCCAGAGAAGGAAATCACGGTGGTGCAGTCGCGCGACCAGCTCATGCCCCAATTCCACCGGGGGCTCCACGAGATCGTCAAGAAGCGCTTTGACGAGCTGGGTATCAAGTACGTAGCCCCTCCTTACCCCCAATTCCACTTTTCGTCTCTCCTCACCTAACCCTCCGCAGAACCATCACCGGCGCCCGCATCGTGGTCCCCAATTCCGGCTTCCCGAACAACGGCACCCCCTTCACCGTGCAGCTCAACAACGGCACCGAACTCACCACCGACTTCGTCATCCTGGCCACCGGCCAGAGGCCCAACAACGACCTGCTCCGCTCCCTGCCCGCCTCGTCGCCGGACTCCCTCATCAACCCGGCCAACGGCTTCATCCGCATCCGCCCGACCCTGCAGTTCCAGGACCCGCAGTACCCGAACCTGTTCGCGGTGGGCGACGTCGCCGACACGGGGCTGCGCAAGGCCGCCCGCCCCGGCGGGCCCCAGGCTGCGGCGGTGGCGCACAACATCCAGGCGATGATCGAGGGGAAGACGCCCGAGGAGGTGTATCCGCCGTTCCCGATGGCGATCCACATCACGCTTGGCTTGGTGAGTTTATCCATCCCTTCTTTTTTGTTTTTTTTTTTTTGGGGGGGGAAGTGTAGATGCTAATATTTGGGCGTTAGAAATATAACATCGTGTTCCGTAACCCGAATCTCGCGGAGGGCAAGACGGAGCCTGAGATCAAGGAGTCCTGGGAGTAAGTTTATGTCTGCGTGTGCATAAGGGCCCAGCTAACACTTTGTGCAGTTCGAAGGAAGATATGGGAGTGGACCGGTGGTGGAATCGCCTGGGGTTCCAGGAGAGTGCCCCGTCTCAGTACCATTTGTAAATTCGACGGGTAGGGAGGATAGAGATTCATTGAAGTAGTCGTATAGAGAGGACATGATACCAATACATTTCTTTTTCGGTTCAATGGAGCTCGTCGCCATGGCTGTAGATTGTTTCCATTGATAAGGGCGCACGTGTGATCACACATTAGAGATAAAAGAAAGAATGGGGACCATCACAGTTCGAACGCCATAGAACTCCACTCATACATCAAACTATCCCCAGAACACAAAGATAAGTCACACTCAGTGAATCTCCGGGGTCACCCCCTGGTGACACCCCGGCGACCGCCACTCCGGCTCACAGGTGCCCGTGTACACGCTGTACGCCTGGCCAGGGGCGCAGTGCAGCCGTACAAACTCTCCCGCGTCGCATCGGTGGTAGGCGTGGCAGTCGAAGCGATCGGGGCGGGTGGCGCCAGGGCGACAGTCGACGGCGGCGGCGGTGTCGAGAAGGAGAGCGGCGAGGAACACCGTTAGGGCTTGGTGGAGGAGGCGCATTGTGAGGGGGGAGTGCTGGAGTAGGGGTGAGGATTATGCCCTGGGACTAGTGTTAGTCATTGTGTAAAATTGTGGATGCGCAGTGTAGATGTAATTGGCACGGATAAGGGTATACTCACGGAGTAGGTGGGATAAGCAAAGGAAATTGTACGGGGGACTTTAGTCAAAAAGTCCAGGCACCGAGTGAGCGGCACCCCAGCGCATGGGGCGACGGAATCTATTGATATTTATGTTCATGTTGTCTGGTATGGGGAGGAGAGGGGGTGGGCTCCTCTGGAATTCGATATCATGCCGCTTGTGGGGCACGGTGCCTGGATGGGGAAAGGGAAGGGTATCTAAGGTAAGGTACGGGACTAGACTCGGCCTTTTGCTGCTAATAGTCCCCTTTTATATGTCTGAGAGGATTGACCGCTAATGATAAACTGTGGGAGTGCTATTGAATCTAGATGCAATTAGGCGCTACGTGGCTGGAGAGAGGAGAAGATAGATAATAGTCACTCGACGAGTGAGTGGGAATCGTGCAGGGGATCATGGGGCTAGCTTTGTAGCTTAGCATAGCGCGAGGAATGTACGAAGCGGAGGTTGTCGCTGCAGGGACCAAGGGGTAAGACGCGTGAGGGTCGATCCTGCGACGGGAGCTACTCATAGAATGGGGGCTCTCCGGGGTAGTGACAAGGTTGTGTTCCATCGCAGTCAATATTTGAAGTCGGTTAGATGGTGAGAGAGGGGTGTTACTCGGGCAGAATACTTCATACTCCGGACCAAGCTCCAGAGTCAAGTCCCGCTTTCAAGAAAGGGCGATGAAATGACAACAAATAGAGCGGTGCTTGGCGCTGCGCTGGGAGGCGGAGGATGCACAAAGCGGTGAGAATCTGCCAGATTTTTCAGCTCAACCTCAGACCGCCATCTAGACCGCTCAGACTGGCAGAACGCTCGCGACCTCGCAACGAAAACCGCGGATTTAAGCGGATTTAAAGAGGTAACTGTCCAGAAAAACCTGCTCGCGAAACTGTTTATTTTAGGCGGTGGCAGAAAAGGGCTGCTGGCCGCCCCAACACTAATAAATTGACATGACGTCGGCCTTTTGTAAGGGAGCCAAGGGCTTGCTCAACACACAGAACTTTACTAGGACCTACAGAAGACAGATCGTATGAGAAGACAGTTCACAGGAGACCGGATCAATAAGCGTCTACGGCTTGAGACCACTAGAGGAATGGTACGCTGCCTCAAGTACTGAGTACGAACTTGCATGTTAACCTCGCTAGATCACAGCTAGTAGATCGCCCCCCCTCCATCCCCAAACAAGCACCCCCCGGCGATCCAAAGTTCTAGAATCCCCACCCTCTAACCCTGATCAACGCTCCGATCGCTCCGATCAGGCGATGGACGAATCGACTCATGCACGCTCCCATGCACAGGGGTCGACCCAAAATTCCGCCCTGCATAGATTACCTACCCTGCTCGTCATGTCTCCGCAATGAAGTCAATTTGACCTCGACTTCCCCAAAGACTGGGTGAACGATGAAAGAATGACGAGGCGGGGTTGGTGACGCGCTCTGACATCAAATGCAGCTGGCTGCATTCGAAAGTATAAGTATACCATGGTTATATCGAGGCAATTCTTCATCTTCAAAGCAATCCAATTATCACATCTCGCCCACTATACACTCCATTCTCCACAGCTATTTCTCAAAATGTCCTCCGCTGAAGACAGAGTCAACGCCATGCGTGGCTACAAGGCGTGGGTCATATCCTTCACTCACGAATAAGACAAGAACCGTCTCTGATGATCATGCAGCACCCTCAACAACCCCAGAGTCTCCGATGAGGCCAAGCAGAACGCTCAGTCCATGCTCGACCAGCTTGGCGGCTCGCAGCCTTCAGAGGAGTTGCACAACCTCCGTGGTGACAACCAGAAGGACCCCAACCGCGTCGCTGGTGGACTCAAAGCGTACGCCCCCTTCCTCCTCTAAGCTCTTTTGAGAGATACACTGACCTTTCCCACAGTGCGCAGAACAACCCCGGTGTGTCGCAGCAAGGCAAGGAGGCCGCTGGGCAGAAGCTGAACCAGATGGGCGGTCCGGATGAGTAAGGACGTGTTTTCGAACGTGGTATGAATAATGTATTAAGTATGATTGACGCTGTACTACTACGATGGAATATATCTGATGCTTTTGGCACGTAATTGACCAATATGTACAATTCCAAACCCTTTCCGCTGCAAGCGCGGGTAATTTCATCATGATCCCTGATTATCTCCCCCGCAGGAATGGTATCTGGCCCACCAGCCTTCCATCGCACCAATCCTCAGCTGAAGATAAGCGCGATCCTTGCTTTTCGCTCTCACTCAGCAGTCGAAATAACATTTCATCGACTGTGCTTCGCCGTACGAAAGACAATCGATGTTCTGGTTGATCGCATTCGGAGTGACACCGATCTCATTTTGGCAGTACGGGTCTGAGTATACGATGCAGTCGGTGCCATGAATGAAGTTGCCTTCGACGACCAGTCCCTGGAAAGAGCTGAATTGGAAGCAGTTTCCCTCACAGGTCGGAATGTAGTTGCCGATACTGTGGTGGCAGTCGGAATCGGCATAGTAGGTCACGCATTCTTGGAAGCCGTCGTAAGAGCACTCTTTAGCGATGGTGGTCGTGGCTAAGGCAAGACAGAAGAGGACAGAGTGAAGACGCATGGTTTCGGGGACGATGAGAAATCTAGAGGTTGGGAATTGGTAAGTAACTGCGTCTGCAGAAGCCCGTGTGATAGCTTACCGACTTACTTGTGGACAAGGTTTGGGGTTGATTGAAAGAGTGGGACTGGCGTTGCAGGAGATAGGGAATCCCTGTCAATACATCTTCGTCCTTATATGTGTACCCCAGTTCATGTGTAGACGTTTGATCGTGCTATACCGCATCTAAAGCTTCATTTCCCCAGTCGAGACGCTCGAGTGATGATCTTCCGGGGATGCATACGATCGCCAGTTTGGGCGGGCTAGTCCGCACGCTAGTGCTCCACTAATCCCTTTTTCTCAGGAATCCCTTCAAGCCCTTAGACATCTTGGGAGCTAGATCCCTACGTGCTTCACGAGCAGGGCATCAGAGAAGGCATGCAGCCGGGCGCCTGTTGGTGCCTGGCGCAGGCCAAGCGAGGTTAAACACTCAGCGTGCACATATATCATCGATCGACGGGCCAAATCCTTCACGCTAAACTTCTGCCCGGTCCCCTGGGGCAATTTGACCTGGGAACTGCTACCTGAGCAGGCTGGATGGCAGATGGCATGTCTCACTCTGGATAATGCTTAGTCGCCATCCCTACTATCGAAACTGCCTCAAATTCCCTCATCGACTATTCCTAGGGCCCCAGTTGTCAGCTTACAGATCAAACGAAGGGAAGGAGAGATATCTGTCAGCGATTCTTTCTCTCCGACTCCTGACAATTCCGCTGCACGCATCACCATCTAGCATGCACCTCTAGACAGCTCTCCTTGACGAAGCACCACCCGCTGCGTCTACCGGGTCCTAGCAGCAGTTTCGAACAGTCGAAGGCCATCACACAATCTGACCACATGATGAGCCGGGCAGGCATAACGTGTTAGTGATGGTCTAGCACTCTACGGCAATGGTAGCCTTAGGCTAGATCTGACTGCTTGCTAGGTGGTAAGCATGAGACCCTGGGCAGATTCTTTCATACATCCAAACATGGAACCATTGAACTGAGTAATGACAGCGATAATACAGACAATAAGTGCAATACGAACATGGCTTCCATTATTGATCATCGAGTGTTGAAACACGTTCGTTCGCTTCTTCGAACCACGAACATCAACTTGGAGCAACGCTCCCGACCCTAAGAGATAAATATATCTATCTCATAATTCGAAAAGGAACACATAAGCAATGACGACAGAGGGATATATATGAAGGGGGGGGGGGGGGGACATAGCACCGACTGCAGAGAGGTAAGCAATCCCGCAGGTGCATTAGTGGAATAAAAAAATAGTTGAGGAACTGATGTATGCTGGTGTATGCTGATGTATAGTAAGTAGACTTCGGCATTAAAAAATTGCTGCCTGAGGAAAGACGTTGGCTGAAGAAAGCCAGGAAGATCAGGGACTAAAACGGCTAGACCCCGCTCAGGGCTCAGGGTCAACTAAGTTACCTACTAAGTTACCTACTGGTCTACGCTGCAGATCGGTAAATCATCAATCTACTACTCACACCTACACACTTACCCTTCCCCCTCTGCCCTGCCCATCTTCACTTCCCTCGCAATCACAATGAAGGTTATGCTTGTTGCTTGTGAGTCCTGTCGTCAGCGAAAGAGGAAATGCGACCGAGCATACCCCTCCTGCGCGCTGTGTCACAAGTAAGTCAAGTCCCCCTCGGCTTATCTTCAGCCGCGCATCTTAACCGAGATTCTTCAGGACTGGCCGCAAGTGTTTCTATGCCATCTATCGGGTCACTGACTCGATCCACGAGAAACAAAAGCTCAATGCACCTGTCGCGGTTGAGTACTGCAAGGAGAACCTAAGAGATATCAGCCCGGATTCGTGTGAAGCCTTGTCGCGAGACCAACTGTCTTTGTCCTGGGCCATGCAGGCTCCGACCGTCCCGGAATCGTATCCTATCGCCTACCGCTGGTACATGCCCAAGTTGATCAAACACTGTGAGAATGTATCCCAAGCCCTGTCTTGACTCGCGCTGACCAACCATGGGAATTAAGTTCATAACGGACTTGGTGTTGCCCAGATCCCAATCACCGCCAAATGTAGTGCTTACAAGCTGCAGACTGTTTGGCTTAGGAGCGCCATGGAAGATCCCTGCCTGTTTCATGCCACGCTCTTCGCCGGCTCTTCACACTTTGATATCTGTCGGGGACAGAAGCAAAGCATGATCACCCTTTACCACTATAATGAGCTGATCAAGCTGGTCAAAAGGCGTCTTGCAGACCCGGCGACCGCGTTGGACGATCGCACGATCGCTTCCATTACCCCACTGGCACTATTTGCTGTATGCAATCATTCTCCTTCCCTCTACGCCGGAAATATAGCACGGCTGACGACAAGGATAGAATCTTGGTGGTGATCGAGCTTCAGCTGAAGTACATCGAGCTGGTCTGGAAAACATGGTTTTACTACGGGGCGGGATGCACAACCTGGGCTTGGACGGTCTAATCTCATCACTCATCCACATGTTCGTTGGGCCTTTTCCGAGCTTTCCGCCCTTTTGTTCGAGCGGATGACTGACTCTCTGAATCGCAGGAACCGAATCGTGTCGAATATCGTCTTTGATTTGGGGTTGAGCACCGGACCTCAGTTTCAGCTGATGCCCCCACTCAGCCTCGAAGAACGGATCCTCAACATGCCTACGAGACCACCAGGACCCGACACCTTCGTTGGCTCGATCAAGGCCCTCTTCCAACATGTTCACCAGACAAAGCTCTATCTAATGGCTCTCCTCCCAACAGACCACCAGGGCCAAGACATGCCAGCGACTCGCACGATGCCACCTCCTACCACTGAGGACCCTATCTACCAGTGCTGTTATCTCGCTTGCAAGATTTTCCAGACGATCGTCGATGGCGGGGCTAACGGGTGCAGTTTTGTTGAGTACCTCGACGCATTGGCGAGGAACCTGCGAGACGCGCTAGCCTTGACGGACGAGGAGGTCTGGCTGCGGTATTTTCCCGTGCCTCACACCTGGGCCTGCATCACTGGCGCCGCCGCGTCCAGCGACTCTCAAATCCGGACGTGGTTCTACTTCCGGCAGGCATCCACAGCACGAATCCTCAACATCGACGGGGACTACACCTTCCTGGATGATCTGTCTTCGCACTTCGACTGGCTTCGAAGCCTGCGACGGGGAGCCCTGCAACTCGATGATGAGAAAGCGGTCTAATTAGGGGTCTCATGGACCAAGTCTAATTTTCTTCAGCTCGTCGGCACCCCACCCCACTTGCAATCCTTCTGCCCAACGGAGGGCTTTATTTTTGCAGCCCGTTGTGATCCTTGATCCTTTTCTTCGGCCCTGCCGAACCGTCCAGAGACATGGCCCCACCAAGGGCACCCGGTCGATTGGACGGGTCGAATGCGGTGTGTGTCGTGAGGCTGAGGGTTAAGCGAGATTTCGTCCCGTTCTCAAAAAAGGAGGTCGGGATTCTAAATCTCAACGCAAGAACAACAACACAATTGCGAAACGCTCTGCCGCTTCGGTGATCGATCTGACCCTGGGAAGTCTGGGACTCTCCAACCGTTCCTCCCAACTGGCCTAGCGCCTGCGGGGTTCTAAGGAGATAGTTTCCGCCCCAACTCGATCCGGCTAAAGGCACGAGGTGAAGAATGGGCGCCCCACGCCTGGAAGGATGCTGACAGGCTGGACCGGGGAGTGGGATGTGTGGCAGTGCTGGCGCAAGGCTGATATCGGCGTCTTGGCGCAGATTGGCTTCTCGTGGGACAACGTGCGAAGGTTATCTTCGCTTAGCAGCACACCACGTCCGGGACCTTTGTCCGTTGCGGGTTATCTTATCCTGGCTGGTGGATACGAGACTGATTGTACTGTACAGCAGCATAAGCCGTAGAGCGATCTTCTTACATTAACATATCAGACTAGCATTGACAATAGAATATGATACGAACACAGACACCCTGCCGCGCAGATACGAACGACGAACCCCTGGAAGAAGTACTCCCAATGAGCCACTCAGCCCTCGGATCACGTCAGCCCACACGTGGCGGCGATGGGAGCATGGCTGACGAGAGGTACTTTAATTTAGAGCTGTCTCCACTGGCTCTTTGGCCTATCTTGCTACCAATCGGTTGCGTCCTGCAAAGGCATCTTCGGCTTGGACTAGTTCTCGAAGCTTCGGCTGACCCCCCATCGTACCACTGAATTGTCAGGCGCCGAGACATTAATATCGAGACGCATCCTCCAGATAAGATAGTCCCGCCACATGGGGTCACCTGGGCGCGGGGCGGGCCCCAGGCGTCCCACGGGCGGCTTGTATCTCCGCGGATATAGTATCTGCTGCTTACTCTCCCGATCACTGACCCTTAGGACTTCACAACAAACAGAAAGCCACGAGAGTAACACGCTCAAGAGGAGTCGGGTCTCAACCCTGTAGCGGGGATTCAGACTGCATTGATTCGGGGAGTAAGTGCAGCTTTAGTTCGCGAATTGATGTCTTGAGGCAGCACAGTAGAAGCATATCCACCAAGCCCTAGGAACCCGACAAACTACAACGCAAGACCCGCCTCAGCTTCCCCGATCGTGCACGATGGTCAAATCATATATTCCTCGCGTGCGCGATGGTATCTCGTTTCCTCGCTGACCAACGAGCTACGATCAGAAGAAGGCTAGAGGCCGGGGACTCGGGGATCTGTGTGGGGAAGATAATCAACTAGCCTGCTTCTGGTCCATGCCCTTTGATTCCCAGCTCATCATCCCACTTCCCCTTTCGGGTAGTACTTACAAATTACTATATTATAGATTGGAGAGTCGGGCAAGTGAATGGAAATTCGTCGCTGCCGCGCTGAGTTGTGTGCTATTTTAGCCTCGCCTGGAAACCTGGTCCTCCATCGCACAGGCCGACCTCGGACAGATGGGCATCCCTTCCGTGCCTATCGCATGAAGGCAGCTGGTCTTGTAAGAGCTTTTCTCAGCTGTTGATGAAAGCAGGTGTCGTTACCTCAGGATCTTTAACGCAAAGACAGAGGACTATTAGATCGTCGGACCCCGCGCGGGCGGTGCGATGGACTGCTGTACTGTACATTCGACGGCGACGATCAGGCTGATCAAGAGATTTTCGCTAGATACTTCTAAGTCTCTCTTTCTGCGGGCATGAACTGTGCGATACAGGGCCCTATATCCGGTCCACGTATATTAAGCCTCCGATACTTTAGGCAGTGTCGCTACACTGCTACAATAGCCTGGGCAGAAATTATTTTCCACAATAAGAAAGACACAAATTTGCTAGGTACAAGCAAAGGAGGTCTATGAATGTAAGGAGCGCAGCGGTCACGTCGGGATGTGCGAGTGAACAGTACTACCCTCTCTTCTCCCGGTACGCTGTGTTCACTTTGAGGACCTGGGCGAAACAGACGGGATAGGCACTCGCGCGGAAGAGAACTCTAGACCCTAAGATGTGTCCACTTGACTGACCATTGTTGCAAAATCAGTATGAAATATTAATACTAAGTGACTATCTACACATTAGAACCCTCATCCTCTCCTGAAAATATATGCATCCTATCACGACTCCTCCCCCCGATCAAACTTCTTCCTGACCAAATCAGCCAGCAGCACATCCCGCCGCCCTTCGACCGCCTTCAAATCGACCTGCGATACCCATTCCTTGACTGTATCCTTCAAACCCTCGACGGTATCTGTCGAGCTCCAGTCGAACTTGTGCGCCTCCATATCATCTAACCACGACTTCAGCGCGGGACCCAGATGATCGATAAAATGCGCAAAGCTCGCCCCCCCGCCGAGGGTATTGGTCATCAGCGGCCCGTTGAGCGCCCACCGGAGCCCGAGACCGGAGGTCATGGTTTTATCTAGTCCATTAGCATTATTCGTTAGTATTATCTAGAAAAGAACGTCAGGTTGGGCTGGGGGTTGGTGGGCTGCTCACCCAGATCCTCTGGGGAGACCACCCCCCTCGAGACGAGACTGTACGCCTCCGCGCACACCGCCGCCTGCAGACGATTGGCGATGAACCCTGGGGTCTCCTGGCGGACGACCACGGGGTCCTTCTCGAGACTCTCGTAGAAGCGGTACGCGGCCGTCACGTTTTCCTCCGCAGTGCCGGGGTGCGGCACGATCTCAACCAGCGGCACGAGATGGGGCGGGTTGAAGGGGTGGCCGATCAGGATGCGGGACGGGTTGTTCGTGCAGTCCGTGACGAACTGGCTGGCGGGGAGGCCGGAGGAGGACGAGGCGATGAGGACGTGGGCCGGGGTCTTTGCGTCGAGGTGCGCGAACAGCCGGCGCTTGAGGTCGAGTCGTTCGGGCCCGTTCTAGGCAATCATCACCGGTGTCAGATTGACACGCATAGATAAGATACGGTTATCTTTAAGGCGATGATCGGCGACTAAGCTCACCTCTTGGATTAGGTCTAGACGCTCGAGGTGCGGGTCGATGTCTGCCACGAAGGTGAAGTTCTGTAGGCATGTCGCGGCGTCGACGGTGGGATTTGGGACTGCAGAGCAGTACTCGTGCAAGTAGGCACGCAGCTTGGCTTCAGCGCCTGGGGCAGGGTCGGTGGCGATCACCTTCAGCCCTTTGGCGAGGAATAGGGCTGTCCAGCTCGCACCGATGACGCCGGCGCCAATCACACCGACAGTTTTGATGGGGGGGGTCGACATATTGCAGGTGTACGAGTTTGTGACTGCCCCATTGTGCTTGGACAAGCCATAACAGGTACTTATATAAACCAGTTAGACGGGGTCATATCCACAGGCGTTGGTGGTACTTTGGTGGTTTCCGGTCGAGGGAGACGGAAACAAGGCCGTTCCGAATGACCAGATCAGGTAATCCGCACTTCGGACCGAAGCACCTGACTCTGCTTGACTCTGCTTGACTCTGATGACGATCTTCCCAGGGAGTCCCCACACTTTCGGCCCTTGTCCGGGGATCTTTCGGTCCGTAACGGTGCATTAGGGCGCAACCTGCCATTTACGGCATTATCGACTGCGTTCCGTGAGGTCGGGCTGCCGACTTCCGGGCTTCCGGGCTTTTGAATTTCCTGTTCTAGAAACGCGGAACCGAATCTTGATATGCGCCCCGCGGGCCACGGGCCTTAACGGTTGAATGGGCTCCCGTGTCGAGGTAAGGTATAATAGTCGCTATATCTGTCCTTAAGATATCGACAGTACGCCTCCTATCCCATCGAGATTTCATCGAGCCTTTCTTTGACACTTAGCACGCTCACCACACTTCACCATGACTGACGCCCACCAAACGATACCCAGCACAGACATCTACGGCCCGGGGACCTTTGTGGACAAGGACTTCCTTCCCGCGCCCCAAGATGCGGGTCGCATCTTCGAGTATATCGCCAAGAGCACGCCTGGGTTCACCCAAGACCAGAAGCTCTGGAAGACCGTTAACTTCACGGGCAGTAAGCTCCCGGTTATTCCCGGGCCCACCAAAGCCCCCCTCGTGGCCGCAGCCCTGCATGCTATGTGTGGTGTTGTCGCCCATGAGATCGTCGAGGACCGCGATGGCACCCCGGCCAGCACGCAGCAGGTCACGGTAAACACCAACCACGCCGCCATCTGGCTGGGAACCATCTTTGCCGCCACCATCGAGGGAGAAGACATGGTCGACCTGGTCCGGTCGCGCAAGCTGGCGACTCTATATGATCGGGATTTCGAGCACGGGTGGCAGGCCACTCCGCTACGCCAACGATCGACGGCGCTGTACAAGACCAAGACGCCCGGTGTGTGGTATCAGGTCCACGGCTCCCTCAACGCGGAGCCTGTTCTGAAGGCCCTGGGCATGGACCCTGAGTACCCGGCCAAGACCCCGGACGAGGCGTACGAGTACATCAGCCGGCACGTCGAGCAGTGGACGGCTGACGAGCTGGAGATGCTTAACATCAAGAACGGGTTTTGCGGCAGTATCTGCTTCACGCCGCAGGGCTGGGCCGACACGTTGATGGGCAAGCGCCTCGCAGAGCATCCGCTGGTCGGCTACTCGCGCCAGTCGCATGCCATCCGCACTCCTGCCATTCCGTTCACCAAGGTCGCCAACGATAAGCGGCCGCTGGCGGGTGTCAAGGTCGTGGAGCTGGTCCGCATCATCGCCGGGCCGGTCATTGGGAACATCCTCGCTTCGCTTGGGGCGGATGTCATTCGTGTCAACTGCAGTCGCTTGGTAGACCTTAATGTAAGCTACTCCTCCCCTCTACGTTGAGACCGGCGGTGCGCTAATCAAACCTCCTCAGGTCCTGCAATTTACGTTGAACACGGGCAAACGCACCATCGATCTTGACCTCACCAAGGAGGAAGACAAGGCTCGCCTGCACGAGCTGATCGAGGACGCCGACGTC